GATTTGATTTGATATTTCAAAGGATGTGAGATTAAGGGAATTGTTTTTTTTATAAACCTGCATTGTAGTAAGGCATGGGATAATCATATTTAACAATTTGAAGAAGAATCTCTAAGCAGTTCAAGAATGCCACCTCAGACGTTGGTCTACACAGCACAACAACAATCACAGATTCAGCCATTTTTCTTAGTCATTAAGCTTCTTTCTCTCACTTTCTGCGTCTTTTCGCCTTGTTTCATTTTCCTTGTCATTCTTTTGTCTACTCTAGACTCGCTGCCTCGTTCTCTGCATGCTTGTTAATCTTGCTACGCTGCGAAACTCTTTTTTCCCTCCACTTTAACTTCCCATTTCCCTTTGGTCTCTGAATTTTGCATTTTCTTTTGATTTCACCACCAGTAATAAGCCACATCTGCTGGAAGAGTTTACATGCTTGAGTGATGGTGTTTTCCCTCTTCCTTCTTCCTCTACTGTTCCTTCTCATTCTCTTTCTCACCATTCAGAGTCAAAAGGACAGAAAGTAAAAACGAGAGAAAAGAGAGAGGATTATAGTATACAGACCGTGACTGTGAAAAATAGATGTGTGCAGAGAAAGAAGTATAAAAAAATCCCATCTTTCTCTTCGTCTAGCCTTCTCTTTCTGGTTCGACAGAGATAGGAGGGATAAAAGCTGGATTCCTGGATCAGGGTTCACCTCAATATTGTCATCCCAGGAAGCTTAAAGGCCGAGCTCCTAAATCACGGATGGTGGCTTTTAGCCAAACCTGAGACATAGACACGTATGAACTCCTGCATAGAGGAGGAAAATAAAACATGTTTGGCATCACTCTGTAGAGGAAATAAAGCATGTTTATTGTAACATCAACGCACCACTTTTTTTTTCATATATTACCGCATTATGTGCATGTTTGTATATAAGACAGCAAGGGAATAGAGCCCCACCCCACTGCCCCACCACTGTTGGCGTAGTAATCATTCTTTCTGTCTCACTCTTTGTGATTGCCAGCCCATCCTTGCACTACAGCTAAATTGAATCAATTAAAATCTTTCTTTTAGATGGCTGCTGTTGCTTCCACCAGATTAGGCTTTTGATCAAGAAACACACAAATAAATAAATAAGCAAGTGGAAGGGGAATAGAAAAGGAATGAACTTAATTAAACAGTCAGCGGGGGTGTGTGCTTGTCTGGATGTTAGTAGGAATGTGTGGATGCAGCTGCACTGTATAGGATTTTGGCACATGTGCGTGATTCAAATGAGTGCTTGTTCAGAAATACTTGCAGAAATACAAAAAAAAATCTAAAAATTGTGCATATGTGCAAATGAGCAAACTTGCAAGCAAGTGAGCGTGCATGCGTGTAGGTGAACATAGAGTGGCTCTATCATAAATTTTATAAAACAAATTATCAGCTGACTATGTCAGCGGTTATACTTGACAGTAGATGAATCTGTGTGAGCCATTGTAAACATAATATGCATTATGGTTATTATGACCACAGTCACATGTGCTGCCATGCATAATTACAGCTCTTAACAGCCACATTAATTCAAATCACTGTGTTATGCAATAAAAATGAATATGATTTGTGATCCTGTTCTAATGAATTTTTTTTGTAAACTGGGTTCAGCATAAAGTCATAGATTTAACTCTTTAAATATCGAAGTGACAGGCCAAAGAAGAATAAACACATTAGTTCCATGATGCTAGAATGTTATGGTTCAGTAAGTGTTATCTTGGATTGGGCAGATATGATGGAGGTCATATTTATTGTTGTAAAACTGGATTTATTACTCTCACATTATTAGAATTATGTTGTATAGCAGGAATTCTCATATAGATTTCTTAATTAGTCCTCATCAGTAGAAAATCAGACAAACCTCAAACCTCAGAGCTGTGAATATAACACTAGACATCCCCAAGTCATTCCATACCAAAAACTGTTCAGGTATCAGAAGAAGTAAATATAATAATAAATAAATTACAATTTATTATTACTAATATTAATTTGCTTTTTTCATGTCCCCATGTATAATACTGGGTTTTACTTTAAAGACATTCAGCACATATAGTAATTATTTACAAACCAGTGATGCCATCCTTTCTTTTTTTGCACCAAGTGATTTTAACGATGATGATTTTTATTTCAGTAATTATTTACAACTTTTGGAAATGCAGGCTGAAGTGCAGGATGGTAAATATATTCTTTTAGCTATCCTCAAAGGCTTTCTGTGGGTGTACACATAATGCATCCAGTGTAAATTACCAGTGTAGTGTTGACTGAGACTGTGAAATAGGCATTTCATTTTCACTGATACAAATAAAAATATCCAAAAACACATGGAAGAAAATATGTGAGCATGTGAGGTTGAAAGGGACAGTTCTTGGGTGTGGTTGTTGGGTGTCAGTGCCCAGGATGCATGGAGGGCTTAATGGGGCTTTTAGTGTGGAAGTGTTGGGAGCTGGACATGAAATTGCTCTAAAAGACCTCAGCTCTCCTGTGGCTCTCCTCGTCTCTTCAGTACATTTGTACCTTACTAGTATTTGATGTTGAAGCCTCACTCGCCATGGATTTTGGCAAATAATCTAAGCGATAAGAGGTCGTCAGATTGCTTGAAATTCAAAGAAAAGTTGCTTCAAAGATTCTTTTCTTATCTTTTTTAGCATTGCATAGACTGGTCCGTACCTTACAAAAGGAAAGGAGATAACGCCATCCCACAATCCTTTGCAACAGTGACATTTAGGGCCATGCAGCATCAGGCTGTTCACATTATACTATTTATTCACATCAAAAGTTTTTTTTATAGCAGTGACATCAATTGCATTTAAATTTAGGGGATATGAGTGGACAGGAGAATAAGCGTAAGCAAACATCTTAACATGACATTTATTTTGTTTCACTTTCTTTTGCTTTATTTGTTCACTTGTTTTTTTTTTTATTAACGGTGCTATAAACACAAACACAGAACATTATAGCTTCACCTCATCAAAGAACCAGCAACGTCCTGTAGCATGATGCATAGCTAAACATATGTTCAGTTGAAGGCTGTTAGCACCATAGTTTCACTGGATCAGTAAAAGAAATAAAAGTGATGTATATGGTGTCTTGTAGCTCGGATGGAGAAGGAGGTGATTTTGGTGAATGGCACTGACTTAGTGAATAAGTCAGTGCCATTCACCGACTATTAATTGAATAGTAAGTGATAGCTCCGACTAGCTAACAAACAGTAACAGATTCGTTTTTATTATTCACGAATGACTATTTGCACAGGCCTGAAAAAAGTACCTTAGAAAAGGTAATTGCTGCAGCATGAAAATATAATACAGAAACACTTGTGGAAAAACTGTAATAAACAGCATAATTATTTCCCAAACTATCCTTTGTAAAGATCTAGCCAACTCTGAAGAACTAATTGTAAGACAAGCCCAGTTGTCTGGTGTCAAAGGTAAATATTACATTTCAGATACAGACATCTGGCCAAACACTTATTGACCTGACCTCAAACATATCAATGTACAGAATTCACCTGCTTGCTGCTACTACTGCACATTCACCCAGTGTATATACTATATGTATGT